CTCTACTCTACTCTACTCTACTCTACTCTACTCTACTCTACTTTACTCTACTCTACTCTTTATAAGCATATTATTTAACAATATAACAGCTCATATTCTGCAAATGTAGACCATAGGGTTGTCCAGATCTTTAAAGAGGTAGGTTGGTTTGAGACTGAAATGAATCATTTCTTGGAAATGGTTGTATAAAGCAGTAGGTTCCTTCACTTCTAGGAGTAAACCAATAATATGTGTTCTTCCTCATTTTCAAGCTCCATGCCTTTTACTATGGAACAATTTTTGACCAATTTGAAGCTATTTCAATTGTTGGGATTCTCATGCCTTAGCTTCATGATATTCCCGGGATAGAAAGTTGTTCTCAAATCCTTTAAGTTCATTCAGTTATTTTTAAAATGTTTAGAACCATTATTTCTGCCATCTAGTCTACCTACTCTTATTTACTATTTCTCTTGTCACTGTAAATTAGTCACGTAAATGATTCTAGCTAATAAGAGGTCAATAAATAGTTAATAAGGCATTATTATCCTAAGCAGCAGTATAGTTTTGGCTATGTGATGTGTATCTCATTGAGAGAGGGGGAAATACATTTTGGATTAGTCATGTGAATGATTCTAGTTAATTAGAGATAATAAGGAAATAGGGTAAAATCAGTAAATAACTGAAATCAGTTTGATTGGCTGAAGACAAATCATATTTCAGAGAGAGAGCAGACTTGGACTTCATTGTCTATTTCCTCAAATGGGTATTCTGATTACCCCCCCTCCACCCCCCAATCAACAAATAACCATTTGGGTAAGTGGTAGATTTTCCTTTTTTTCTGTTCTTTCTTCAAAGAACTCAGAAGGTCTTACATATTGCTTCCAGGTGATCTTTAAACCACATAATATATAGGAGCCATTCCAGTTAATTGTAAAAGGATCATGACATTGTGCTCTTTGAGACCATTCTGAGGAGATAGGTTTACCAAATATTAGTTTTTATTTTGGTTTTGCTCTTAAGTTATTATTTTTGAGATTGCAGTCCTCTACTTCATTCAGTGTATGTATCATTGATCTTCGTTTGTCATAAACCTGTATAGGATTGTACTGTAAGTTTCTCTATTAACTATTCATTTTCACTCATTAGCAATTCTTGTTATATTAGATGGAAGACGTTATTGATGATATAATCAACATGGAATCAAATTTTAATGATGAAGGGATAAGTCCTATTGAAACACCACTGCTCATGCCAAGAGTGGTAAGTAATTGGCATACTTTTTCATAAGAACAATTGAGAATGTGGGTCAGAAAATTGTAGTTTGGAATTATAATCAAGTAGAATGTGTTATTTGTGCTCTTTTGTCAAACTATCCTTTGCAATTACAAATTGTAAATGTGTGCCATAGAAAGCTGTATTGTTTAAAGTTGTAACCCTATATTATAATCAGTGAGGCTGTGGATTCATCTTTTGGCTAGAATACCTTTAATATTTTTATTTTCTTCACAAGTTTGTAGTCACTTTTTTCAGAAAAAGTTCATGCAGAACAACATGTATGATTCAAATTCCTTAGCATTTGTTTTATTTTTATTTTAAAGGATAGCATTTATTAAGACAATTTTCTATGAAAATATAAATGATTGCCAAGAGAATATATGCTCTACTATTTTAGTATTGATTGATTTTAATTATTTAAGTATTCTGTAGGTCTGAAAAAATATGAACAAGAATTGTATATAGTATATATGTACAATTTACAAACTTAACGATTGTTGTTGAAACTTACTGTTGTCAAATATAACAAAATTGAAATACAATTTCCTATATATAAATCACAATTAAGTATAACACTTTATTAAAAGTTCTCTCTATCCAACTTTTCAACATTTATTAACAATTATTAAAAATAAAGATTGTATCTTCTCCTCTCACCAGAAATTGAAGTCTAGCTGTTTTAAACTCCTACACTCAAATATTCATTTAGATCTTTATGGCACCTGAAATAATGTTGTTGATATGAACAATTTCTAGCAATAATTACCATGATAATACTGGTACATAATATTAGCATTAAAGTTAGTACATATTTTAAGGGAAATGAGCTGGCTAAATTTTGACACCTCTATCACTAATTTTAGATGACTGGAAAAGGCTGCACAAGACATCAAGGCAAATGACTTTGTCAAGCACATTTTACATTAGATCAGGCATAAATTCAAAAGAGAAATCAAAGGTTATTTGATATATCAGCTTCAGCAACTGTCAGTATGTCATGAGTACTAGCTTGACAAAAAACAAAAATTAATAAGAAAAACAAGATCAAATTATTTAAAGTATCCATGCTCATTATTATTTTAAAATAACCATTTACTTAGTTAAGCATAATTAATGCTATATAGTATGATTCAATAGGGCTGAGTAATGAAAATGGAAGAGTTGGCTTTGGTATACCATTAAGTGTGTCCCTTTGATGAAAAGGTTTAAGGTAAACTTCCCCAGAGAGAAAATTGGATATGAGATGGGTGGCAAATAAATTTCCTAAATAAATAAATATGAAAAATATAAATTTATCATTTATGTAAGCTGTTTTCCCCAAACGTGCTGCAATTAACTATTTCTAGCAAATAAGAAGAAAAGTTGTACCTTTTAGTGTTATTGGTAAATGTTCTGAACTTTCAAGTTGATCTGATAATTGCTAAATGCACTAATACTGAGAAAGAAACAGTGCGTCCATATGTTGTGCATAGTTGATCATTATCAGCAATGGAAAGCAAAGTTTTCCCCTCAGTTCAGTTCAGTTTCTGCTGAAATATAGCTGGGAAGAATGTGGAAAGACATTGTATATTGAATGTGTGCCATCTACAGCACACATGGAATCCATTTTGACAGGACTATTGTGCATTATTTCCTTCTCTCTTGCCAAAGCTTTCTGTCTCATTTGGTATAACATTCATAAGCACAGTGAGACATATGCAGATAAGCATTTTAAGAAATGCCCCCTAATCTGTAACATGCAAAATGACTTCATTTTTCTTTTATTTTAATAGGAGGTGGTTTCAAGTAGAACTATCTTTTGATACCATCTTTCTGGTTAAGTAAGATATAATTGTGTAATTTTCTGGTGAGGATGTGATTTCATAGAGCTGTTATATTTCAATGCGGTCTGTTTCCTCTTGCTGACATCTAGTGTATTCCTAGATCGATCTGTATAATAATATTTGTTCAGAAGTAACTAGGCTTTTGAAACAATTCAGCTGTCATGGTGTTTTGTTCTGCCTAATTTGTACACAAAATATTTATACAACATTTTTGTTTGAGATAAAACTTGTCATAAATTGGAATTTAGTTGGTAAATGCTTGCTTGCTATGTAAAGAACAAACTACTAGGTCACCTCATTTCTTTTAAATCAATACAATTTATTTCAGCATAGAATGGCTGCCTGTCCAACCTGACATTCACTGTGCTTCCCCTTTGCCCCCATGCAAAGATTTTGGAGTGATCTTTGTCTGTGTTTCTTCATCATGGCATCTTAGCATCTTATAGATATTCGACTTTTTACTTTGCATTTATTGCTGATAAAAACAAGATATATTTCTTGTTGCTTATTTCTACACACATTATTAAAATATGTATCTCAGTATCATAGGAGTTGGCATGACATCATTAGCAATCTTGGTAGTTGCTGGCAGTATCCATTTTTCCTTATTAACATTTAATACATTTAATTTATATTGTACCCAAAATATATCCTCGTATTTTACAAATTGGGTAAGTTATAAAGTTTCTAACTTGAAGGCTGGGTGCAATAAAAGGGAATAAGCTTCAATCAATATGATATTCTGCAGGTTGAATATGTCTGGAAGATCCATTTTAATATAATGTGAAAGTGGTGTCTGCAAATGACCTACCACATGAATAAATGTATACCTGGCATCCAAACGATCATTATACAAATTGTATAGCAATTACAATCACATGCAGCAGGAACCGTTGAAGCTGCCACCAGACTCCGACAGCGAGGGGTCCTATGAGTTGGCTCTGGAGGATGTGGAGGACCCTGGACAGGGTTCTGACTCCGAGCAGAGCGCAGAGAGGCTGGTTGGCCACCAGGAGGCGCCTGAGCATTGGAGCAGTGGGGAGGAGCCCAGGGAGTTGTTCCTGGATGTCCGGCACCGAAGAGCTGATAGGCGTAAGGAACAGTTACAGTTACAGGAGATAATTGCACTCAGCTGCTGGTAATTAGGCTCCTCTCAAGGCTATAAGAGGAATGCTTGTGCACACACCCCATTGCAGGAGTCAACACATTGACTAAAAGTTGGAGAACTATTGTAACTAGCTTGGCAGGCTGGATTGCTGCCAAGGCTTGTCTGTGCTGGATTGTTGCCAAGGCTGGTCTGTCTGTTAATAAATTCCTTAAAGTATCTTTGGCTCAGGGTGCTTTGGTGTGGGACGAGGGGGTTTAGAACAATCACATATAGAAAAACCCACTATTAATGGTAGAATTTCTTTTGAAAAGGATTGATAGCAATTCAACTAGGTAGACCATTCCAGGAAATCAACTCCACAGAAAGACTAAAACTATACTTTGTTGGGATTGGCTATAATAACAGATTCTTGCAAGCCTGATTGTTCTTTACCTCCTTTTATTTTATACCTTTGTTATTTTCTATATATTTGTCCTTTGGACAGCCCCTAGACATTTCTTCTGTGGAAGCATTGAAACCTTAAGATATATTTAAAAAAGAATGGACGGAGAAGAGGAAACATTTGAACATTAAATCTTTTGGGCATTATTATTATTATTATTTTATTTAGCGTATGGCAAATACATGGACTTATAGTAGTTCAAATGTTAATGTCCAGTCCACCCATAATGTCCATTCAAGGACAGGATTGTCTATGTTTAAAAAAATCAGACATTGGGCTGGTGTAAGCTCTTGATGGACATTAGGACACAATGTGGTGGATATTTTGTCAAGGAGCACCACAGTCACACTGAGGGGTAAAGACAAGACCCTACTTAAACAATAAGTCTTGGCAGACACCATGTTGGGTACAGATCCTATTCAGAGTTGACCAATGCTGGTGAGGAAGGTCAAAACCTATCACCTTTTGTGTAGGATCATCTGTGTAACTCCCTGTATCTGGGTGTCCAGCAGCCCATTTGGCTTTCCATTTTGTATTGATCAAAGTTGTTAGACAGCTGTTGAGCGAGTGCCAGAGAAGGCTTCCTGGATTTAAGCCTGCCCATTGATAGATGAGGAGGATCAGTGTGCGCAGGAAGAAGTGGGTTTTTCATAATTTTGTTGTACTCTTTTACTAAGACTTCCTGCCTTCGTAGGGCTGGTGGTGCAATGTGGCTCAAGATGGGGAGCCAGCAAGTTGGAATAGATTTTGAACATTAATGACGCACTGCTAATTTATTATCATGCCATTTTAGAAGGATTTTGCTTTGCTTTATTTTGCTATCATGTCCTTTAAAAATTAACCTCTGTGAACAATTATTTGAAATGTGAGTTTTAATGTGGATTGAATGCTGCATTTTTTTTTTAGAATGAGACAAGTCCCACATTGGCAAGAGGCAGACTTCTCATTGCAGTAAATATTTAGATCATTGTAGTATAGTGGTTAAGATGTTAGTGGATTGCCTGTGAGGTGAGGTCAAAAAAGCCAAGAGGACAGCCACAACAGTCTTGGGTTAATCACTCCCAAGTTTCTTTATATTCTGCCATAGAATTGTTCTCAATAAATAACCACAAGCTGCTAGTTGAGAAGATATCTTAAAGTCTGTCTTAAGGAAAGATCTTGTTTTACACCATGAGAGGCATGCATAAGCGCACCATCGTGCCTATCATCCCTGTCCTACTGTCCCCATTTATTCATACCCATTTCATTCATACTTAAGTTTATTCTTATACCTATTATCTTGTAAACGATTGACAAATCAAAATAAATAAACTAGGAGAAATTCCTGTCTAGTGGTGGGATTCAAATAATTTAACAACCGGTTCTCTGACCTAATGAACAGCTGGGTAGGTGAGACTCCGTGGTCATGTGACTGGGTGGGTGTGGACAACTCAACATTACTCAGGTCAACATGCACTTCACCCTAGCTGTTACAATGTAATAAGAGTTAATCAGAGAGGCAGTTTCTGTAAGTAGGGCAATAAAGATTAGGTTAGAAACAACACCAGAATGTTCCCTTCCTGCCTTCCTTACAGGATTAGCCCTGTAAAGTGGGAAAAACAAAATAAGATTT